TATCTATCTATCTTGTATTTAGCTATCTCTCATCTATCTATCTATATCTATGTTCCTATGATTTATTGGTCATGGAAGCCCAGAGGCACCCCAAACAACACAGGCCATTGTGTCTGTCCACGGTTGCCTACCAGACCTAGAGAATAAGAGGAGCTTACTGCCAGAGACACAGCACACTTGAGTGTAGGATACAATCATGGTGGAACTGACCTGAAAATATCTTCCCTGCTGGCTAGCTAGGGGCTAAAGGTGCTAGAAGGTTCTATACAGACCACTGGAGGAGAAGAGCCCTCAGTGACATTACACAACAATGAATTACACAATAATGGATCCTACTGGCTACAGTACCAATCTGCCAGGAACAGTGTATCCACTGGTGCAATAGAAGCCTGAAGGTTATGGGGGGTTACTGACCATGCTTGCAATGGATTTGAGATCTGCTCCATCGTGAGGAATCCATTCCTGTTATTGTTAACCTGCTCAAAAGACCTTGGCTTGGGGGAACCTACTTCCTAAGGGGAATCTCCTACTACTAATTGTCTTGCTAAATTGAGGTATTGTCAAACTGCTTCTAAGTGGTTACATTTGTATACATAGGGTAGTGCAGTTGAGTCCTTGCCCTGAAACACTTTTCACATCAGTGATCTGCAGTTAATCCAACAACTGAGTGCTGGGAATAGGTGACTCCACTCAGTAGTCACTTAGCTCTAAATGGGGTGTCTATATTGATCCCATTCCTCCCCCCACAAGATGTCCAAGACGACATCTTGGAAGATAGGGCGGAAAGACTGGAAGAGTTGGAGGGTTGGGAGGAAGGCTGTGAAATGCTGTTTGCTAGACATGGCTGCATGACGTGGCCATTTCACCCATGAGCTGTCTGCTGGACATGGCATGGTCATTGCACCCACGAGCTGTCTGCTGGACACGATGTGGCCATTGCACCCATGAGCTGTCTGCTGGACATGACGTGGCCATTGCACCCACGAGCTGTCTACTGGACATGGCATGGTCATTGCACCCATGAGCTGTCTGCCGGACATGACATGACCATTGCACCCACGAGCTGTCTGCTGGACATGACGTGGCCATTGCACCCATGAGTTCTCTGCTGGACATGGCCTGGCCATTGCACCCACGAGCTGTCTGCTGGACATGATGTGGCCAGTGCACCCATGAACTCACGGGAGCTATGTTACCCGCACAAGACCACACCAGACAAGAGCACTCAGCATTCTAACAGACAGGGCTAGTTGGACTCACTGGGTTAAGGAAAACAAAACAAAAGCACATAAGGAGAGGTCAAGAAGGAGGAGGACATATTGGGAGTTGCTGGGGACGGGTGAGTGAGAGACAGCTGGGATGGAGCGTGTGGAGGGAGAGGGTGGGGAGAGTTGGGGTGGATATGATCAATACTGTTTGCAATGGGAAATTGTCAAAGAATAAAAGATAGTCTAAAGTTCACCAAGCATGGCGTATATACTCTTCTTTAATTAAAATTAATAATTTTGTTTCTTTGTAAAAATGTGTTCCTTTTTCCTTATTTTTAATCTACAAATATATTATTAATTTGGAAATCAAGCTACAGCCTACCGTACTTGAGTATTTCTTATTTATGAAAAAGCAATGGTGTTTGAAACATTGTATGGATAATTGGATGCTGAAATTGATATTTAATTTTGAACATCAATAGTACGGACTATTCAACAAGGGTAAGGAAATAACTGTTTGGAAAGACGAAGGGAGGGGGAAGCTGTGTGCACTTTCTTGAAAGCCGGCCAAGTGTGGGGGAACTACAGTAAAAACACACTGAGAGTCTCAAATACATTGTAGCCTTGTTTCTGCTACTTAGTAGCCTTTTTCGGTTAGTTAATTCTGAACTCTACACAAGCTTTCCCTGGTGGGTTTCAATGTAGATAGTCTCTTGTGATAAGTACAGGGAGGGATTTCTTGCTAGGGGAAATTTAGGTCATGATTCATTTAAAGGTGCGGAGTTAAGCATGAGCTGGTTATTAATACACTACCGTGGCTCTACTTTCTTTGGAAAGGACTCCACGAAGGAAGGAAGGAAGAAAAGAAGTTAAGGAACTTAGTCGGTTTGCATGTCTCTCCTGTCTGTCTGTTTCTCCTTCTCTCCGAAGGTGGAATTCTCTTTGCCAAAGGTTTCCACACCCCCGTGCCCTCCCCTTATTACTCCCTAGGAGCTCCAGAGCCTGCGAGGCTCACACTGTACCGGGGAACGGTTCTTTTGGCATTTGTATCAAGCTGAGGTGATCTTTGTGGGAGGTTGCTATGACAATTTGCAAACAGCAGAGCCCATGAAACTCTGCAGGAGGTAGCTCCCCCTACACTGAGGTCTGCACTAGTTAGGGCCTGCACTCTTAGTCCATCCAGGGACCTGGAGACGCGAGGAACAGGACAGAAAAGAATGGACACATGGACTCCAGGAGCGCTTCAGAAACTGGGCACCTCCCAGGAAGGAAATGCATACAAGATGGCCCAACTTTCTTCCCTGATTGTAGGATTTGTTGCGCTTTCCCCTCCGTACCTGACGGTTGAAGTGGACAGCGGTGCACAAGTATGCCATCCATACACGACAAAGCACAGGTGTGAGACAGGGAAGCAAATTTTTGTTTTTCCTGGGGGAAAGAGGCTGTAGACCACAAATGAAAAGGGCGGGGGAAATTCTCCACGTGTCTGGGAAGGAAAAGGGAAAAAGATACCTTTTAAACTTCCGAGGATGAGAGGAAGCAGAGGTTCCCTACCCTTGCAGCCAGCCGAGAGCTGAAAGGAAGGTGCGTGGTGTCTCTCCCAGTGGCGATGCTGGGGAAAGGCTTGAAGTTGTAAGGAAATGGGAGGTGTCTCTGATGTTTATTTTTGCCTAGCAACCCACAGCCAACTGCTACCCCAGCTGCGGTCCACAGGCGCCCGTCTGACTCCCCTTGTCCTAGCGACTGGAGGGCAGCGGTCACCCGGTGTCAGTGAATCAGGGAGGGCGTGCGTGGCCGAGATGGAGGTGGAAGGGCAGCCCCTTCCTTCGTCCATGCTTGGGTCACCAGGCTCAGCCGCAGCCCCTCCTCGGGGCCTGACTTTCCGAGGTGACCCTCATACAACTAAGTTCTCTCTAGGTTTAACTGGGGAGAGGGGCTGGCTGAGCCACTGGGACGGGGGCGGGGGGGGGGGGCGGCAGGGGTGGAGGGGGGAGCACAGTATTGTCTGGGAGCAGCCATTAGGAGCGGTGTTTAGGGGTGTGATGGGAGAAGGAGGGGTCTCTGCAGCAATTTCGGGAGGAGGCTGGCGGCGGTAGGTTGCGCGGTAGTGTCGGGGGGGGGGGGCGTCGCAGGGGCGCGGGGGACCCGGGGAGCGGGCAGATGGCCGCAGGGGAGGCGGAGGGCGAGCGGGAGCCGCAGTTTTCCCCGGGAGCGGAGGGCGGCTCTGCGGAAGATCGGAGGGGGAGGGACTCCCGGGGTGGCGGGTGGGGGTGGGGTGGCGGCGAGCCGGTGTGGCTGGGGCCGCGGGGGGGGAGTCCGGGGCGGGGCCTCGGCGGGGAGGGGGGCGGGGCTGGCCTTTCTCGGGCGCGCGAGCCGCGGGGGCGAGCGTGGAGGGGGGGGGGGCCGGTGCGAGCGTGTGCGCGGGCGCGGGCGCGCGCGGGCCCGGGAGGAGGGCTCCCGAGCGAGCGAGTGGGTCCCGGCGGCCGCAGCCTGCTCCCCGCGGCCCCCGATGTGAGGGAGTCGGGGAGGCCAGCGGTGCGGCAGGGGAGGGCGAGGCATGTGCACGGGCCGGGGGGTACAGCAGCCGCCCGAGGACGAGGGGGACGACGGCGGCGGCGGCGGCGGCGAGGAGGAGGAGAGCGGGGGGCTCGCGGCGGCGGCGGGCCCGGGCCGAGGGGATGCAGCGGACTGCGTGGGTCTGGCTGTAGCGGGCGCGAGGAGGCGACGAGGCGCGGGGGACCCGCGTGAGGGGCGACCAGGAGGTGGTGGAGGCGGCGGCGGCGGCGGCGACGAGTAGCGGCGGGACCGGCGGCGAGGGCAGCCCTGCCATGCACGTTCCTCTCCCGCGGCCATGTTAGCCAGGAAACCTTCGGCCGCCGCTCCTGCCGCCTACCCGACCGGTAAGGGCTCCGGGACCCTGGCTGTGCGCGTCGGTGGCCCGGGTAGCCCCGGACCCGGCGGGTTGGGCGAGGGGGCGTCCGGAGCGCGGGCCCCCGTGTCGCTGCGCCCTCTCGGTTGGCTCGCCCTCCCCTCCCCCGGCCCCGGCGACGTGGGCCACGGAGCTCCGGCCCCGCGCTGCTCCCCCAGCCGGGTCGCGAACTTAACTTTGCAGCTGGCGGGTGCGCGCCCGGGGAGCCGCGTCCCGGACCCCCCTCGCTTCCCGCACGCTGCCGGCTTTTCCCGGGACGGGTGTCTCCTTCCATCTTCTCCCGGGGGGGGAAAAAAAAAAAAAAAGGGGGGGGTTCGCTGCCCACCGGGGCGGGGGCCGGGGCCGGGGGGGTGGGTCTGGGTGGCTCTCTTCCCCCACCCTGACCCTCTTTTGTCTCCTCCCGCGCGTGGCTCCCAGGCCGAGGAGGGGACACCGCCGTTCGCCAGCTTCAGGCTTCCCCGGGGATCGGCGCGGGGGCTCCCCGAAGCGGAGTGGGGACCGGCCCACCCTCTCCCATCGCCCTGCCGCCTCTCCGGGCCAGCAACGCTGCCACCGCAGCCCACACGGTGAGACCCGGCTCCGGGAGGGTGCCAGGCAGATCCTGGGCTTGTGGGGTCCTGACTGTGGGAAGAGGGGGCCGAGTGCTCCACGCCCCTGGCAGGGGCCTGTCCTCGACGCCGCCCTCTGCAACTTGGGCGAGCCCCGAGCTGCTGCCACAAAGGAGATTCGTGGCGTGGGCCCCTCGCTTCCCTCTGGAGCCCGCCCACCCCAGAGCTCCTTTTCCTGGGAACTTCCTCCTTGCGGCTTTCCTTCCTCCCCTCTTTTTTCATCTCTGCTTCCCAGAGCTCCCTTCCCCCGACCCGGTAAACATCTCCTCCCAACCCCAGGGGTAGTGGATATTTATAGAAACATATGTGTTAGGGGACATCTAGGCCACCCTGCCCGGAAAATCGATCCCCCAAAGAGCCTCCGAGGCCTGGCTCCAGCCAGCAGGGAGCACCCGCCAATTGTCCCCCGCGTGTGTAAGCATGTTTTATGAGAGCTACAGGTTTGAGCACAGCAGAAATTGTAATTAACATTAACAAAAATAAGAGCCACAGCAGTAGTCAAAACAAAACAACCCACCTCTGTAGGATTCTCTACATGGATATTACTCAAATGGAAAGGGCGAGCTTTGCTTTGTAGGTGGCCGGAGAAGGGCACCTGACCAGGGCTGTGGTCCCCTGAGGCCCTGGGGGGAAGGAGAGCCAAGGCTGGGACTGGCGGCTGCAGAGACTGGATCCCACTTCACCATGTACCTTTTCTCAGCTCCTAGAGATGGCCTTTGGATGGTGACCTCCAGCCTAGAGGAGGTGTACGCTTTGAGAAGGTGACGGTTTCAGAGGTCTCTTTCCCAAAGGCTCTTTGACAGTGTGAGCACCCTAGGATGGTTCTGCGTGAGGTTGCTTGCAGGATGGACGATTTTGTGGCTAAGTGAAAGTTGCTTGGAAGAACCATGTGTGACCTGCAGGTAGCATCTCTGGGGGATCATATGTGACTGAAACTTGTTTAGCACGGGAGATTTGATGAGAGGAAAGACCTCAGTTGTGGTTCGAGACATGGAAGAGAGGTAGACCAATTTCATCGAACACGTTTTGTTGTTAGCTCTCATTTTGTTTTTCTCGGTGTGTCTATCCTAGGGGCTGGGAATTCATTACACAGGGTTAGACTATTGCTGGGAAAGAGAGCCTACAGGTAGGAGGGATGTTATTGTGACAGGGGCATCCCTAGTAAGGAACCACCATCACTTTTAGAGGTTTGGATTTGCTGTTGTTTGGGCTGGTTTAGAATCACCTGACAGTTTGGAAAATACGACATCCATTTTTTTTTCTCCCCTAACGTGTTGATGTGATCACGTGACATGATGTGACCGGGGAAAGATGACTTGGTTTGCCTCTGACTCCCAGTTTTTGTTTAAGGATGACCTTTACCTGATCAGAACTTCTTTGCCATGGAAATATGTATTAAAACCGGGAGAAGACAAGGTTGCCAGTAGCCTAGTAGCCTGCGGGGAGACAACGGGAAGGTATTTCTCAGGAGAGATGCCAGTGTTTTGCTGCGGCCTGTGTGCAGTGTGGCTGTTGTTAACTGGAGGGTAAATTTCAGCCATTCTGCATCATTAGATACTTGGTTCTGAAAGTGAGACTTTGTGTTTCCCATGTTGTTGGTTTTGACTTGGTTTGTGTAACAGTACGGTTTGCCCAGATCAAGGGCATTCAGGACCACAGAGTTTATCTGGTTCTTCTCCTGCAGTTTGACCTGAGGATTCAGACTCCACAGGTTAACTGAGCTGTCAGGAGTCCGAAGCCAACTCAAATATGTGCTACAGAGTTGCACACCGTCCTGCCTCTGCGCTTAATGTACTGCTTGGGAAGACTAGTTCTGGGAACTAGTATTAGCTGTGTTGTAAATGCTAGCGTCTTTACAGGTGTATGTTCCCATGTCGTCTACATTTTCAGAAGTGTTTACACGTTTATTTCCAGAGCAGTTACATCTGGAACTGTTGGGAAATGAGTAGTGAGAAGAAAGGGCATTAAGTGAAAAGTGATTTATCATAGGAGTTTTCTCATCTTTGCTCTTAAGCACATGAAAGGATTGTGAACTTTGGAATTTTCCATGGTAGTTTGTTTTCTACTTCTTGTGTGACTTTTATACCATAGTAATTTAGTTGAGGTCAATTTGTCCTAAAAGTAAAACCAACAAGTATCCTGATTCTTGTTAGTTTTTTTTTTCCTTATAATAATATGTGGCAGATAACAAGATATTTATTTTAAATTTTTTTCATTTCTATAAATTCCAAAATATTGGTATATACTTTTATAACTTTGAATATTTAAATTACTCATCATTGTTTGTTGTTGTTGTTTTGTTTGTTTTTGTTGTTGTTGTTGTTGTTTTAAGCTCAACTTTATTCCCATAACACCCCCAAAATTTCTAAGATGACTCTGGGAGGTTTTGAAACGCCCAGAAGTCATAGCACACGGAAGCATGTGTTGCTTGCCATTTTGGTACTGCAAGGGAAAAAGAAGCACCCAACTTCTGAGACTTCTGTTCATGCAGAATTTTCAGTACTAAAATATCTCATGATTAGAGGAGGGGTTTGTGGATCTCTCCACTTTAACACATCCGGTTGTAGGTATTTAAACCACTGGGTTCTTTTCAGCTTGTAGTCTTGAGTGTGGCACGTTGTACTACATTAGCAAATAGGCCCGACCCATGGTTTCTGGCTTCCAAAGGCTGAAGTAGGAGCGAAGGGTCTTCAGGGTCCTTAAGTTTATGATATGGTCCTAGCATCTCTGACTTTTCTGGACATCCCTCCTATTAGGTATCACTTTTGTGCATTTGATTTTGGTTGTGATTTCAGGGTCCTGCACTGTTCGGGACCCCAAATCCTCTCTTTTACTGGAAACTTCAAGTCAATATCTTCAACTCCCGGAATGTGTAAGATTCTTGGGTGTTGTAAGATGCTTGCTACAGGTACTTTTTAACCAGCCATCCTTTGCCTTGGAGGCCCGGCAAGATCTTATGACTTGGGCCTCTTGGGATATTTCCCAACTCCCTCAGTGTTGACTTCATGTTTTCTTTTGAAGATGCAAACACTATTGCTGAAGAATGACTTGAAGGGACATTCTTGACTCTGTGCTTCTAGTCAGGAGCTATTCGGTGTTTACTGTGTACCTGAGTTTATGTTAATGGGGACTTAAGAAAAATAAGAGGTGACCACCACCACCCTCACCCCAGTAATTTCTTGCAGCCAGATGGGTGCACTTTTTGTCAAAACTGAGTGAGGTGAAGCATTAATGATGAGACAGTTCAGTGTAGGTACAGAGGGAGTTGTTCAATAGATCGGAGGAGGTGAGAGTTCTGGCCATTGAAGAGTGAGTAGGAGTTTGTCATCGGAACAGTGGAAAGAAGGAGATTCGAAGCAGCATGAGAAAAGGATCGTAGCAGTGGCTGTCACTTGCTAAGTACTACGCCACACACTTTACACACACACTCAAGGTCTCTAATCTCCCCAATAGCCCTAACGAGGTAGCTTGGAACCTTTCTGCACACAAGGACAGTGCAGTTCAGAGAGATAAGGTAAATCACCCAAGGTCACAGAGTAACCGGCAGAGCCGGATTCATTTCATGTGTGAAAAATATCCCGACTCTTATCCAACTGACCTCATCAACAAGAGAGGAGTGTGAAAGTGCGTGGTGTCCCTGGGTCCTGGGGGTTCAGCCTTGTTCCTCTTAGGGGTGTACCAATGTGTCGATCAGACTGGAAGAGCTCTGGCGAGATGTACTCTCACTGCATGCTGTGGTGGTGGGATGTAGCCATGCGCACAAGCAAGAGCAGTCTCAGATGGACAATATGTACATTCCAACTCAAGAAGTAGTATAGAGAAAGACTTGAGGAGTTTAGGCGTGTGTGTGTGTGTGTGTGTGTGTGTGTGTGTGTGTGTGTGTCTGTGTGTGTCTGTGTGTTTGTGTGTGTGTGTGTGTCTGTCTGTCTGTCTGAGTCTCTGAGTCTGCCTGCCTGCATATCTGCCTCAGTTGTCCCAGTGAAAACAGCAATATAAAATATAGCTGGTAGCGCCTGAGTGAGTGGGCACAGGAGGCTTCATGATAGTGTGGAAAGAGGATGGATACTGAGAGTGTTATCCAGGTATATACACTGTCAGGGATTCCTAGGTATTCAGCCAGAGCAATTATGTGAGGAGAGGAGGTTTTTCTTTTTCTTTCTTTCTTTCTTTCTTTCTTTTTTAAATTTTTTGATTTTTAAGTTGAGGATTATGATAGCAAGAAAGCGTTATGAGTGTGTCTGTTTGAGTTTTGCCAGTGGAAGTGGAAACACGTTAGCAGTTGGGCATGGGGCATGAGTCCAGGAGGTATGGACGGGCAGGTCTGCAAAAGGACACAGAGGAGACTGCAGCCAGTGTTGGGTGCTCCTGATATCCCAGCTGTGCATAGGAGCGACCAGGAAGTAGTAGGAGGGGAAAACCAAGAGAATGGAAGCTGAGACCCACCTGTCAGCAGGAGTCATAGCTGATACTGGAGAGAGAGCTGGTGGAGAAGTGATGGGCAAGCTCTTTAGTTCTGGTCACTGAAACATTTGAAATAATTTTTTAGTTTATGCAAAAATTGATTGCAGTAACCTAAATCAGAGTAAATTCTCGATGCTCAAAAAGTTTTATTTTGCTAACATTTTAAGAATCTTTAAAATCCCAAGGTTGGTTTTGTGCTTCATAAGTTAGTTGTATAGATCTGGGTTATTCTTCTGAAGTACCCTCCGTCTTGCCCTGAGGAGAAGGATTTCTTTTTTTAATTTAATTTTATTTAAATAACATTTCTTTCATTTATTTTACATACCGACCACAGTCCCCCCCCCATCCCACCACCCCCACCCCCACCCCCGCCCCAACCCCGGCACGAGAGAGATTTCAAACCTGGAGTCCTTTCATTGAGCACAGAGGTGAATGAGGCTTTGGAAGGAAAAGCAGTGGGCAGATAAGAGCATGATGGAGCACTCAGCCACCTAGCACTTGAGAGGCTGGTGGCAGTGGAAAGATTGATTCTTTTTTCTTTCCCCAAGGCTAGCCTTTGCTAGCAAGTTCTTAGCTAACTCTGGCATCTTAAAAATATGGAAAAGGGAAGGAAAGGACAGAGAAAAGGGAAGGAAGGAGAGAGAGAAAGAGCAATCAACAAGTTTGGACTACTTTTTTATATATGCTCAAGGCTTTTCCAGTGTCTTTTATGGACTGCCTTGCTTTTGAAGTAGAAAAGGTACCAACTACTATATAGTGGAATATAAAGTCACCTTACCTGGCGGTATCATCTCTGAGTTCAATAAGAGAAATCTGCTAGAAGTCTCTCTGAGAAATACAATTCTGAATCCTGTGAAGTCAGAGTCGGGCTCAGGAACTGGCTTCTTTCTCTTTTAGAAGGGAGCAGAGCCTCGCTCCATAGATGGCCATTATGCTTGCTGCTTGTCAGTTAAAAAAAAAAAAATGGGAAAGATCATGGCCTGCTAGTAAGGAAGGTTTGGAATCTCGTTTTCTAATCCAGGGGTTCCCAAAGCATTTCTTGAATCACTCTGCTCCTCTCCCTCACCTCTGGATACCCCCAAACAGAGGACTGAGCCCCGATGACAAAAGACTCGTCTTACTTACTGTAAATTCCCAATGGGCAGAGTTCCTGCCACTCTTAACTAGTCCCTCATTAGTGCTGACTGGGTGAGTGAGGTGGATGTTGATGACAAGTTGATTCTTTGAGATTTCAAGGAAAAGTTTCCCCAGAAGACTGCTTGAAGGAAATCCTAAACCGATTCAGGGTAGGAGAATGGGGGATTGGCCTTTGCCCTCTCAGTTTTGTTTAGACAGGACTATTCTGGGATGGAGTGTATGCCAGAAATAGAAATTGCCACTTTGTATTTGTAGTGGTTACTGTTTCCTTTGCTCTGAGCAAATACCTGGTCAAGAACCAACTGAAAAGGAGGAAGAGTGCGTTCTGGCTGATGGTTTAAGAAGGGTCACACTGTCGTGGTGAAGGCATGGTGGCAGGAACCCGAGGCGGTGATCATATTGCCTCTTCAGGGAGGAAGCAGGAAGACATGAAGACTGGTACTAGGCTTACTTTGTTTATTCAGTCCGGGACCTCAGCCCATGAAACAGTGCCGACCGTGTTTAGCTTGGATTGTCCTGCCTCAGTTTACCCAGTCTGGAAACTCTTTAGGGGACATGCTCAGAGAGGTTTGCCCCCTAGGAAATTCTAGATGCTGTCAAGGCGGCAGTATTAACATCATGTGATTCTCTGTTGGAAAGCTGAGTATCCCAGCAGCCTGTAGAAAGAGAAATACGTGCGTGGGTACCAAGCCGTGGACCAGAGGCCCAAACTGAATGGCAGTTGCTCAGCTTGTTGGACAGAATGACCTTAACTGATTGAAGTCAGTGACACCCAGAAACTGTAAAGAAAGAAAACAGGTCTGAAGTTTGCTGGGTAACTAGGACACACGTATCTACGGGAGACTCTGTCAATAGAAGCTTATTTTGTTTGTCACTGTGTGCGTTCCGGGGGTTAATTAGAACTTCCGGGGAAGAAGGAAGCGTCTAGTGTTTCTGGAGGAGCTCCAGATATATACGAGGGAGTGCTGGACAGGTGTGATGCCCCATCCTCATAGAAATGCAGAATGCTTCAGTGAAGTGTGGAAGACACTGTGGTCTGGGCGTGGGCAACGGTGTAGATGGCACTTGTTTGTGCTTTGCTTGTTTCACTTCCAGATCTGATATGGCTTAAAACACCTGCCATGTGCCAGGCCTCTTATTAAACCCTCGGTGCAGAATGGTAACATGAAGGCTTGATCCCTGCCTCCAGGAGAACTTACTGCTAGGACCTAGGCTCTGTAGCTGTGGCATTCCCAGGGCTGTCCTGTGTTTCCTAACCTTGCCCGATCCACGATTGTCCGTCCTTCTTTACTGGCATGCCTATAAGCATCCTATTCATTCTCCCTGCTGGTATATTCATGGGACTTCTTGGGGACACAGCACTTTCCATTGACTAAAACTGATGGTGGCTGTGGGTTCCTGCCAAACTGGGAGTCGGGTGATGAGGACTGATTTCTGACATGGCGTTGGGGGAGCAGGGCCCATTCCTTTCTGTTGATGCTTTCTCGTCTGAATTCCAGATTGGCGGCGGTAAGCACACCATGAATGACCACCTCCACATCAGCAGCCACAGCCACGGACAGATCCAGGTTCAGCAGCTGTTCGAGGACAACAGTAACAAGAGGACAGTGCTCACAACACAGCCCAATGGGCTGACCACCGTGGGCAAGACGGGCTTGCCTGTGGTGCCAGAGAGGCAGCTGGAGAGCATCCACAGACGGCAGGGGAGTTCCACCTCTCTGAAGTCCATGGAAGGCATGGGGAAGGTGAAAGCCACCCCCATGACCCCCGAACAAGCGATGAAGCAATACATGCAAAAACTCACAGCCTTCGAACACCATGAGATTTTTAGCTACCCCGAAATATATTTCTTGGGTCCAAATGCAAAGAAGCGCCAAGGCATGACAGGCGGGCCCAACAACGGTGGTTACGATGATGACCAGGGGTCCTATGTGCAGGTGCCCCATGATCACGTGGCTTACAGGTACGAGGTCCTCAAGGTCATAGGGAAGGGGAGCTTTGGGCAGGTGGTCAAGGCCTATGACCACAAAGTCCACCAGCACGTGGCCCTGAAGATGGTGCGGAACGAGAAGCGCTTCCACCGGCAGGCGGCGGAGGAGATCCGGATCTTGGAGCACCTACGGAAGCAGGATAAGGACAACACCATGAACGTCATCCACATGCTGGAGAATTTTACCTTCCGCAACCACATCTGCATGACGTTTGAGTTGCTGAGCATGAACCTCTATGAGCTCATCAAGAAGAATAAGTTCCAGGGCTTCAGCCTGCCTCTGGTGCGCAAGTTTGCCCACTCCATTCTACAGTGCTTGGATGCTTTGCACAAAAACAGAATAATCCACTGTGACCTTAAGCCCGAGAACATTTTGTTAAAGCAGCAGGGGAGAAGCAGTATTAAAGTGATTGACTTTGGCTCCAGTTGTTACGAGCACCAGCGTGTCTACACGTACATCCAGTCGCGCTTTTACCGGGCTCCGGAAGTGATCCTTGGAGCCAGGTACGGCATGCCCATTGATATGTGGAGCCTGGGTTGCATTCTCGCGGAACTCCTGACGGGTTACCCCCTCTTGCCTGGGGAGGATGAAGGGGACCAGCTAGCTTGTATGATTGAGCTTTTGGGCATGCCCTCCCAGAAACTCCTGGATGCTTCCAAACGAGCCAAAAATTTCGTGAGCTCCAAGGGTTATCCTCGATACTGCACTGTCACGACTCTTTCGGACGGCTCTGTGGTCCTCAATGGAGGCCGGTCCCGGAGAGGGAAACTGAGGGGTCCACCAGAGAGCAGAGAGTGGGGGAACGCACTGAAGGGATGCGATGATCCTCTTTTCCTTGACTTCTTAAAACAGTGTTTGGAGTGGGATCCCGCAGTCCGCATGACCCCGGGCCAGGCTTTGCGGCACCCTTGGCTCAGGAGGCGCTTGCCAAAGCCTCCGACCGGGGAGAAGACGGCGGTGAAGAGGGTCACGGACAGCACTGGTGCTATCACGTCGATTTCCAAGTTACCTCCACCTTCCAGCTCGGCTTCCAAGCTGAGGACTAATTTGGCACAGATGACAGATGCCAATGGGAATATTCAGCAGCGGACAGTGTTGCCAAAACTCGTTAGCTGAGCTCCAGTCCCCTGATGCTGGCAAGCTGAGAAATGCGTTGTAGCTGAGCCTTATTGGGTTGAAAAAGTGTAGCTCAGACCTGTTTTTATTTGCTCAAAAACTCGACTTATTTGTATCTTTTCAGCACTTGATGTAAGACAGTTTGTTTTGTTTTTATAAATACATGGGGACAATGCTTTAAGTTTTTATACTTTCTGAAACCGTTTTTTTTTTTTTTTTTGCCCCCTTCCTTGGGTTCTAAAAGTAAGATGAGCCTTACTGTAGTTAGTGGCAGAGTGATCGTATCAGTGGCAGGCCATTGATTTCTTCATGACTGACACTCATTTACAGACTGGTCACACATATTCACTATGTTTTCATGGTTCGTCCTCTACGCTCCCCAGGGAGGTGGCCCCCAGGGGCCCGCCCTCCTTCTCTCTCCGTGCTCCGGGTTCACACAAGAGCAGCACGCCTTGCCTCCATTTTTCCCTCAGTTAACCTGGGTCAGAGTGGAGGTGGAAGGAGAAGGAAGGTCCCGGTGGAAAAATCTCTAAGAAAAACCGCACCTTAGAGATTGTCTTTTTTCCTTGAGGTGTGTTCAAACAATTACAAAAGAGATTGCCCAGGTCTAAACCCGCCCACTTAACATTCTGAAGTTCTTAAGCCACCAAGCAGCATTTAGGGGATGGATGGAAACTGAGATGTGTGAATTCCTCCCCAGGCTCTGGGAAGTCGGCAAGCTGTCATAATCAGGAAGCCCTCTGATTATGGAAATTGCCTTTTCACCTAATTTTAGGACTTCCCCCCACCACTGTTCCCCGCTTCCCCTTCTCTTGTCTCTGTCCCTTCTTTATCACACACCTGCCGCCTGCACTTCGTGTGTCTTTTTCCTTCAGCTGTCTATCCCAGACTGTTAATGCAGAGAGCCATGTCAGCTGCCATTATGTCCGGAGTGTCATTCCCCAGTTTCCAAAAGAACAGCGAGCGGCCTAGCCGCCTGAGGTGGGGATTTGAATAGTTCCGAAGGAGATTTAGCCGGCCGGAGTGAGTTCACCCTGTAGACGCCACTGAGGTTCCCTTAGCCTGGGAAAGCATCAACTCTTTCGTTAGAAAGAAAAGGGGTTTTGAAAATCCTCCTGGTGAAGAGAAGTCACTGCGGCCACTCCGTTGGGCCAGTTTTAACAACACATTGAAAAGAGGAGAAATGCAACCTCGAGGTAAATGGTTTGACTTACTCTTTGATTCGTTAGAAGAGCCCCAGAAACCGCATCCCTCTGTTCAGTTTTGCTTCTTTTGTATTGCACTGAGTGTTTTTGTGGGGATGACACTTTTCCTGAAAGTAACTGAGAGTTAGGTAAAAGAATATTTTCTTCGCTGAATAATAATTATTTTCACAGTGAAAATTTCAGTATTTTATCACTAATGGATGAACAGTGATATATATCAATTTCAAGGCACGTGGAAAGAATTTTTTTAGTATGTGCAATTTAATAGAGAAAGATTTCTGCCTGTTTGGACAATAGGTTTTGGATAGTAAAAATTAGGATAAATAATCTTTTATATGCACAGATATTATTGTATTGCCTGTAAATCGATTTACAAGTACTTAAAGCATGGTCCCCAGTGAGGCCAAGAAAGTTTCCGGTTAAGTGTTTTGTTTTTTTTTAATTCTATGTTTTCTCTTATTTTAAAAAAGCAAAAAAACAAAACAAAAAAAAAGTGTCATTTTGAATAAACATTTTTCTTATCTTGAGGCTTTGCCAGTTGATGGTGGAAAAATATGCTCAGGAATTATTTCAAATATTTGCCAAAAATGAGTAATAAGATTAGCTTATTAATAAGTTAGCGATATCGCTGTTTGCTTTACTATTTGAGGATGCCATTGGTAAATTAATTTGTACCTTCTGTACTTAGCAACGATAGCTTAGTTCCCTAGTCAAATTCTTTAGCATACTATACACATTTCTGTGTAATCTGTGAAGTGCAATAATATGTCAGTAAGTTACATTTTAAATGATGCTCATGTGACAGTACCCCCAATCAGTGGCTTATAGGACTTAAAAAATTGTGTATTTATTTTTTTAAAAATTGGCTTAAAGGCATGAGAAATAAGGTCTGGTCTGGGGACTTTTGTAAAAAACTACGAGTCTCTTAACGATGGCTAGTGTCTTTAGGTCATTACAATTAACCTAAAAACTACAAAAGCTGTTTTCCCCTCCAAGGCTCCTGCTCTGTTCCCATGATCACTTAGTTGTGAGCCTGAGCCCGTTCTTACTAACCCCCTGTAACACAGCTAGCTATACTTGCCACAGTAGAAGTGGACTAAACTTGCTTGTCTCCCCTCCCCCCCCCCCCCCCCCCCCACCACACAAAACTGGTTCTTCTGAGGCCAGCAGAACATTTATGAGGAGCTTTATCCACAAATGCGACCGGAAACTTTGAAGCCAAACTCTAATGTGCAGTGCTACAGGACTTTTCTTTCTCGCTTTCTTTTTTTCTCCCCCCCCCCCCCCCCAACCACAGTGAAATTTCCTTGATTCCTAAAAGCCGACGTGTTTCAGCGTTTCCTGACACGGCTGCTTTGAGAAGAATCCTCTTTAATTATTGCGTCTCAAATGAAACTGTTGCCTCTCTTCGTGATCTTAAAACCTAAATAAAGGGCTCTGATAGGCTACTAGGAGTCGGCTTGGAAACGGTCCTTGGTCTCACAGGTTACCATTGTCTAGGGATGTCTGAGCTGTTTTTGGATTTAGGAATAGCACAGTGTCGTCTCGTCTTTGGTTGCAGTCTCTTTGGGCTCCGTTTCTTGCACTGCCAGAGTGTTCTTAGCACAACCGTGGAACACCGAGTGGTGCAGGACAGTGTAGATTAACATCTTACAGGAGAAATTGTGCTCTTAGTGTTAACAATGTGCCTTTTGTTCTGAATGCCATGTTGTAGGGCATGCATTTTTTGGCCTCTTTAACTCTTTGAACTAGAGGTAGTAAGGATGGAAGCCACCTCTGCAAAGATAACATCTGTCTTAAATATCTAGATTTATAGGCCTTAATAGAAACCATAAGGCGTGAATAGTCATTGGGCGCTGAGCAAGATAAACCATTTGTTAGTGACACCAGGAATTCCTGTGTTTGAGGGGTTAAAGATGGTCTTTGTTGTATCTGAACATCAGACTGATTTTTTTAAATGATATTTTTTTTGTTATGCTAACACTAGACAAAAATCAACTGTATTTGTAAAAATTTACCTCAAACCATTTAATTTTATAGTGTGATTAATCCCAGGGCATTTGGTATGAACCAAAGTGCATTCCTTTTTTTATATACCTGGCTCTAGTAAGGATGGCCAGGGATTTTTACAATTTGGGTGCAAGGCACTTAAGCCACTTTTAAACTTACTGGGTGGTGTGGAGTCACGTTAAATGGCTCCATCAGAATGTTAGAAAACACTGTAGGCATCAGTAGCATTGGGCCATATTGGAATCTTAAAAGCGCGAATTATTTTGAAGAGAACATTCATTTTTGTAATTTTTTTTTCATCAAGAATATTTCTGGTAAGCAGAAGATTTTTAAAATAAAAATCAACTGATTTGGTTGGCAAAGGTTTTAATATCGCCCAACCTAATGCTGTGGTAGCATTTTAAAAACAGAAGTATTTGTGGACTCTTTGTTTTTAGGGGCTTGTACATCTCTCTGCTATGGACATATATAAAATTCATTGTAATTATACTCTGCTCAACTGCTACAGTTATGTCTAGGCAGTGGCTTGGGTTTCTATCGAGCAACAACTTAGACACGTGACTGTAATAATGCTGCAACTGTGTGTACTGAAAATATGTGAAAATGGTTGAATGTGGACTGTGTATATATGTATGTACAAACTTCTGTGAGATGCTGCTGTCACCACTAAACGTGGAACGTGTTCTAGTGGGTTTGAATCCTAGTGGCCAGTTCTATGATACTGTATGTATTGTACAGAGGATGGCGGGAGGAAGGCTGTTTAGTGAATATTTGTTAAATTTTATTGTTGTGGCCAGAGATAATTTCAGAATAAAATTTTAATGTCCTACCTTAACTTTTCTCCCCTTTTCTAACGATAATTTAACTCCTCATCTGTTTCTGGTATAATTTAGTCCTGGTTTGTTAAACCTGGAGAGACGCGAGCATGTCCGATGGCTTGAGACGTTAAAATGGTCAGTTTCTGCTAATCTGTTCACCTGCTGGGGCTTACTTCTTCACTATAAATGTGCAAATTTTGAGTTTGTTTTTTTTTTTTTAAATGAGGTTTTAGGAAGAAATTCCTGCTAAATCTGAGCTCTCAAGGTATTCTATTTATCGGTAGTAATTTTGTGTTAGTTTTTCTTTCTACCGCAATCTGGATATACCAGAGCTTCATATTTTTTTCTCCCTCAAGCTTGCAGTTAGCAAGGGGCGGGGGGGGGGGGGGGGGGTGCTCAGTTCCTCCCTGATGGCCTTCGTCCTTTCCAGTGTACCGTTCTGGTCGGCTGTTCCCAGATGTTCTTGGGTCGACCCCAGGCTTTCAAATACGCATGCTTTTGCTGGTTTTATCTGTGGTGGTGTCTGTGGTTCACATCTGGGGGTTTTTCGTGGCTCCTGACAGGACTGGGTCAGGAAATAAGGGGTGCTAGCTGCAGCGAACTCCAGATGTGTCAAGATGAGTTAACTCCAAACTGAAGAGTTTACTTTACCAATGGCAACAAACGAGGCAATCTGTCAGACATGGCTGGGACATAAATGTAGATCAGTGTTTCCCTTGTGGCAAGAACTACCTCACACCCTGTTTACGTCCCTGCTGCTGAGGAATTCTGTGGCTTCCCGTATCTTATCCATAGTAAGTGGATTTGCTGAGAGAGGCAGGTGTGAGATACCGAAGCCCAGCTTTTGTCCTCACACACAATGCAGAGGTTTTCATGGTCGCTTCTCTTGCTGCGCAGAGTTCACATCCGGTGTGAAAACACAACAATCAGAAGAGTATCTGACCAACGCAGAGCTAAACAAAACGGAAATGTCTAAGTGATGGGCCTGCTGCGGATGGAAGCCCAGGCAGATCCATAGTGCCCTTGTCCAACCCAGGAAGGATCAGTGGCCACTCTTCCATCATACCTTTCTGAACTCTGAAGTCGATTAATGCTGTATTCTGTTTGAGTCCCTCTAATCATTTACCTTTTGGAATCAGCAGCTATAAAAAAAAAACAAAAACAAAAACAAAAAACAAGTATTCAGAAATGAGGGACTTCAAAATTGCTTTCAAAGCAGCCCTAGAGAACGTTCCTTGTTCGCGTCAATATGGGTCTTTTCAAGAAGGGGGGACTTTGATTGCTTTTGTGTTTTGGGAAGGGCTTTAGAAGGGACCCCCAAAACCACAGGTATTTGTGCCTTTATTTCCCTTTCTTTTTTTTAAAGTTTGAATTACACTGCTCTTCCTTCAGACTTTACGCAAATAAAACACTTGTCACTGGTGGTACATAAGTCCCTCCCAAAAGAAAGTTTGACTGCTGTGTTGGGTGTACATGAGAAAATTGTGTCTTCGTGCAAAGTGGTTAGTGTCTTTGCTTTCACTTCGACTTAACTGATTGGCTGTGATTGCATCCTTGGTAACTGTGAAGGAGACAGGAATTGCCATTTTCTCACATCTCGAGGAAGTTTAGTACGTACTTCAAGAGTGAGTATGACTCTGGAGTGTTAACTGACTATACTAGGGACATGCAGAGATGTACTGTAATTGCATTGGGTTTGGCAGAGCATAGGAGCATTGCTCCCTGCAAAGGAGAGATCCCAGTGTCATATGGGCATCATCCGTATACATTCCTCTGAGCTATAATTATCCTCAGTTCTGAAGAAAATGAAATGATTGATGTCAAAGAGACTGTAAAAACAGAAATAGGTCTAAAGTGAAGAAGTTCAGAAAGAAGAAAGGGGTTTTTACTAGCTATCAATTTCCAATTAAATCTTTTCCATTGAGAAACCGCAAAAAACAATTGATGACTATAACATTTTAGTCTCTAGATAAACCTGTAAATTTAGATGCAACTGCACACACCCCCATTAATTTGCAGGAGAGTCGCATGTGGCCATTTGTGGGAAAGGTGACTAGCTCTGTTCTTTATTTCCTGTGTTCTTAAAATGTTTCTTACATTTGAGTGTATGATATTTTTGGCACATTACTTCTCAGGGAATTAAAAAACTTCACTGATTGTAGCAGTAGGTAAGTCTCTTAAATTCAGATTTACTCAGGTTCTCTACCCTTTGCCTGCATATTTAAATAAATATAGAATGCTTACCAGGGAAATATATAAATATAAACATCTCAGATACAGTTTTAAAATACCAAATTGTAAATAAATCAGTTTTGACAAACTAAAGGATTGTGTCTTTCCTTGCTTTCTATTAAAGGTTACTTACCTCTTACATTTGAGAAGATTTAAATAAAGAGACCATTTCTTCATGGGTAAAAATTTAAGTATTCTTTATGAAACCAAGGCCCATGAAAAGATCATTTAATAAAAATTCTGAATATTTAGTTGTTTAGGGGGAATCTTGATGTGTAAGTGATTATAATCAGTTTATCTAGACTTAGTAAATACGCATATGATTAAATTGGGGCTAATTTGTCATCCTTTTCTCTGAAAGGCAGTACTTACTTAATTTCTTCTTTCCCAAGAATTAAAATCATTGGACTTCTGGCCTGAGTATGCTTAAATTTGAAAAGAAAGACATTGACGCCATAGAATCTTTTTTAACATCTGTTGCAGACTGCGTTCATTTGCCAAGATCGTCCTAAATGCCTATGTGTGACGTTGGGTCATAGCACTAGAAATGAAGAAGTATTGAACAGAAATAGACCTGGATCCCGTCTTCAGAGGGTTGTTAGACTGACTGTGAAGGCAAGCCTAATATAAATAAATACATGAATGAAGAACTACAAATGTCGTCAAGTGTGAAAAAGAAGCACATGGCGGTGAGTGTGTGTACAACGGCAGAGCGGTTGTGTTGGGTTGCGTTGTGTTGCATTGCGTTGTGTAGGTCATGAGTGGCTTCTCTAGGAAATAGCCTTTTCTGAGGAAGCAAGAACAGGGTCGTTAGATGGAAGTGATCAAGCAGCTGAAGGAAGGTCCTTGTGGAGGCAGTCCAGAGAAGGAGAAATTTGGTGTGAAATGGAGCTGTAGTGGTCGCGTGCCCGACCAGGCCAAGCTTGTGGGCAACGTTGAAAGTTTGACATCCTTTATCTCAGGTACAAGGAAGTGACCATTATTTATTTATTATGTATACAGTGTTCTGCCTGCAGGCCAGAAGAGGGCGCCAGATCTCATTACAGATGGTTGTGAGCCACCATGTGGTTGCTGGGAATTGAACTCAGGACCTCTGGAAGAGCAGCCAGGGCTCTTAACCTCTGAGCCATCTCTCCAACCCCAACCAATAGATTTTTAAGAAAAAAAAAAGATGCCACAAGCAAACTGGCTCTCCCTGGCTGTCTGTAGAAGACTGAAGGAAGGAAAAGCAGATGAAGAAAGGCCGCTTGAAAGTATTGATGAGAACTGACAGGGGTTGGGTGTGGAGATATCTGCAGAAAACAAGTGGATAAGAAGACTATGAAAAGAGAAAGAGCAGGTGTTTGTGTATGAAAAACAGCTGTAGCTCTTTCAGGTGTGCTCCGTGGAATCGAAGGGAACTGTAATGCCCTATTTGTTCAGAGCGAATTGGAGATTAATGTGCTTGGTTAAACTGTGAAGTACCGGTGAACTATAGTTTGCCAAAGACTTGAAGCCTTGGAGTAAAATTCCACTTACTAATTCATGGAAAACATGCTGAGGAACTTTCAGATCTAAGAGATGATTTAACATACACACACAGACGTAGGGAAAGGTTGTAGAGACCAGCCAAGCCAAATTCTCCAACAAACAGCCGTAATCTCCCTGGTTAGGGTACCTCTCCTGCCCCTCCTTTCTCTTCTAGAAATGAAACATTCTAGGGATGGAATTGGATAGTGCAGATCCATGTTCCCTGAATATCTGAAGCTGTTGGTTATACCGAACGAACCCTGCATAGACAAAGTTCTTCACAGACTTGCGGTAAAGTTTAATTTATAAATTCGGTTTGGAAAGAGATGACCAATAGCTGATAATGAACTAGAATAATATACAGTGATAAAATGATCAGGGTCAGTACTTTTGTCATTGAGGCTATATAAATAAAGGTCACTTGAACACCAGCCTTGTGAATCTGGTAACCAAGGTGGCTACATCTGAAACACTTTTGATGTGTAGAGCATGTATACCTTGGACACAGCGGATTTATCATGTCCTAGGAGGTATAGTATGAGATCTCACACTACTCAGAGTGATAGACAGTTTAAAGTGTATTAATTATTTCTGAGATTTCCCATTTAGTATTTCCAGCCTGTAATTGACAGCCTGATGGTAACTGGCTCCGTGGGAAGAGAAACCTCAAATAAGGTTTGATAGAGAAACTTTAAGGATGGAACGCGGTAGTTGTATGTGGAGTGTCTGGTTTACCAAAACAGTAATAATGACAAAAGAAAGAAGTAGCTTGCTGACCTCAAGGATTTGATGTTTTCTTTGGAAGGTCATTTGTGTTGTTGCTGGATGAAAAACTTCAAAAAGGTTTTGGTTTTTTTTTCCAGCCAGGTCTCAGTGGAATTCAGATGGGTACAGGACTAAGGGGCAGTTTGAGAGAAGAGAATTGTTCTCACAGAGGTGTGTATTGTTCATCATCCAACATGTATGGAGCTACAGCATAATTTTGGGCCTAACCTAGACAGAGCAGGGGAGTGAAGCATAAGTCTTGGGAAGGTGCATATCACCATCGCATGGTTTCTTCAAATGTGCAGTGTCCCAGGCACATCACAAGTGCCGTCTGTCTGGAAGGCATGGAATTGGGCAAGGTGGTACCGCCGAAGCCCAGCCTGGCATCTCCTTCCCTCTACCTGGGGAAAAGATCTCAGTGCTCGGTGAGCGGAAGTGAGATGAGAGAGACAGCATCCTTTTCCACCACTTCCTTCCCTCACTGCTCCCGGGCACACGCTGGCACAGAACA